TCGCTTGAGTTTACTCTTTGTTACATGCGCGCTGTGAGTGACATCCAGAGCACATGGACATAAAAACAGCAGCGGAGGACGGAGGAGGTGACGGTCAGAGTTTATTTATCATGTCAGCAGCAGAGGAGAGAGACACGGTTCATGCATGGCTCCCAAAACGACAAGGCAGCTATATTTGTTCCTAACTTTATTATTAGGAACACACGCGACAAAATGAGTATGGTGAAAAAAAAAAAAACTACTCCCTGCAACAAAAAACGCATGTTTTCTAGGGTCACATGCGCCCCCTGGCATTGCCCCGGGCCCCCCCAGTGGGGCGCGCCCCACTATTTGAGAAGGACTGCTGTAGGTTCTCTTAGCAACATGGTCCCATTAGCACCAGGGTACTGCTAGCAGTGTGGCTTGGTTAGCAGTGAGGTTCTTTTTCGCTCGTTATTTGCTGGACTGGCCCTCGTGGTGTTTCCATAGGTGTGGGGGAAGTGTACCTGTGACCCTCGAATTGGACCAGAACCGAATCGAGGTGGCTGTGGGGAAATTCGTCTTCTACAGAGCCGGTCTCAGCTTCAGTGAGCAGCCCGTTACTTTTACTGAAGGACGATCCACCTCCGTGGAGTCGTTGTGTTCACCTGGAGGAGACGCTCCGGTGCTTTGAAGCGCCGCCGGACCGGAGCAGAACCGCGCCGCCGGGCTGCCGGACCGGAGCAGAACCGCGCCGCCGGACTGGGCCGCCGGACCGGAGCAGAACCGCGCTGCTAGACTGGGCCGCCGGACCGGAGCAAAACCGGGCCAGGGATATCTTCAGCCTCTTCGTCTCTCGTGCTTGGAGCGCCGGAGCCGAACTGGAGCAGAACCGGACCGGACCAGTTGCCGACTTCAGCCTCAGCCTCTCTGGTCAGTCTCGCTTTTCACCGGGGGTGCCCCGTGCTGTCGGGTGCTGAGAAGCGGAGGAGCAGCGTGGAGGAGCAGGGCTGCGTGGTGCTCGAGAGAAGTTCGGAGTTTGTATCGGAGCTGCTGCAGGCCTCCATCCAAACTCACCTGGATAATAATTAATTTTATTCCGGATCACGTTGTTGGCCCCTGTTGACCTGAAACGAACTTGGACCATGCCTTTCACTTCAGGAGGATTTTCTGGCAGCTCGCTCTGCTATTTGCTGCGAATTATCTGTCTCTGTTTCGGCCTGTTGATTCTGGACCCAGCTTCTGTTTCTCATGGGAGTATCCATCCATCCATCCATCCATCTTCACAGGGGGGCCGGAGCCCCCCTCAGCCTGACTTAAACTGCAGTTGGGCCACCTCGTCGGGTTTGTTTGCCCATTTGAACTGTGACATTTTATGGTCTGAATCTTTTCTGCATCATTCATATTACTGTCACTATTTTCAGTTCTCAGATTATCTGGAGTCACTGAATCTTGTTAATACACCTGAATCTGTCCATCACTGCAACTTTCACTGTTTTTGGGTTCTGAATGATCGCGTCTTCATTAATGTTTCTCATGGTTCGATTATGGGGGCTAATTGTCACACTGTTAACTCTTGTAATTACACATCAGTCACAAAAAACTCAAGAAAATGTCTGATAATAATGTTGTTATTGCTCTCAGGAATTCAACCTAATCCTGGACCCCCCACTAATTACAGCACACCAAATGACTTTAAAAACGCCTCTGGGCTCCATTTTCTGCATGTAAATGCTCGTAGCCTTCTGAAAAAACTTGATGCTGTGAAAATCCTGGTCAGTTCTTCTGGGGCAGATGTTATCTTTATTTCTGAGTCCTGGCTCAACAAATCTGTAATGAATAATGACGTGGCAATCAATGGGTTTAACATCTACCGCTGTGATCGTCAAAAAAGGGGGGGGTGGAGTCATTATTTACATTAGAGACACTCTGGTTTCAAGTCTTGTGACTTTCAAAACAATTCCAAACCAGTTTGAAGCCTTATCTGTAAACATCACCTTGAATGGAGGCCAGGTTTTAACTGTAGTCTGCTGCTACCGCCCCCCCACAGCTTCACCTGAAGCATTAAATGCCATTAAGGAATTCCTTGGTAATTTAAAATTCAAAGAGATCTTTTTGGCAGGAGATCTCAACATTGATTGGTGTAAGTCGACCCCCCTCTGTGACAAATTCAAGGAATGTTGCTTGTCTTTTAATTTAACCCAACTGATCGACTCCCCCACCAGATTAAATAAAAGCCATCCTGACAATTCCTCCATCTTAGACCTGTTTCTAACTAATATGCCTCACAAATTCCCTGGTACAGGTGTATTCGCTGATCTTTTGAGTGATCATTGTGTGACAGCGGCTTTAAGAAATAGTAAACTTCCACCTTCTAAGCCCAGATTAATTAAAAAAAGGGATCTGAAACATTTCTGTGAACAGTCATTCCTCTGGGATCTGTCTCACTTTGACTGGCATCGTATTCTGTTAACTGATGACGTGAACTCTGCTTGGAACTATTTCCATAATAATTTCATTTATTTCCTGAACTTACATGCTCCTTTTCGTCAGTTCAGAATAAAGGGACGAGACAGCCCCTGGTTTACTCCAGAGCTAGCTGACCTCCTGCACAGGAGAGATCATCTTTGGGCCGCAGCGAGAAAATCTGACTCAGACACTGATTGGTTGAGTTTCCGACAGATGAGGAATAAATGCACAACTTCTGTCAAAGCAGCAAAACGGAACTATTTCTTATCTCAGACCTCCAAAAATCTAAATGACCCCAACAGATTCTGGAAAACAATTAAATCTCTCTCAGGCACCCCCCAATCATCTGACCTCCCATCACAACTTCTCGTTAACTCTGTTCCTGTGTCAAATAAGCACGAGATCCTGAACTGTCTCAACAAACATTTTGTTGCTTCTGGTTCTTTATTTGACACAGTAACTAATGGAAAATCAGCCACTTCACTTAATAACCAAACTTCTACAAATCAAATCCCTCCTACAAGTCAATCCTCAGTTAATCACACCTTCTCTTTTTCTCCATTCTCAGTCAGTGAGGTCAATAAACTGTTAAAAGATCTTGATCCTAAAAAATCTGCAGGTCCAGATGAACTTCCACCTTATTTCTTAAGGCTGGCTGCTCATATCATCACAGTCCCTGTGACCCACATCTTCAATCTCTCCATAAGACAAAACTCCATCCCAGACACTTGGAAAACAGCCTTTGTTCTTCCTTTGCTGAAGGGAGGTGACCCCACCTCACTGAACAACTATCGACCAATCTCTAAACTCTGTATTTTAGCCAAGGTTCTAGAAAAACTGATAAACTCTCAAATCAAAAATTACCTGGACTCATTTAACATCTTACCTCCACATCAATCTGGTTTCAGGAAACAACACAGCACAACCACTGCTTCACTGAAGGTTCTTAACGACGTTGTTGAAGCACTGGATGCTAAGGATTATTGTGCTGCACTTTTCTTAGACCTGTCTAAAGCTTTTGACACTGTGGATCATAACATCTTGTGTCATAAACTCTCAGAAATCGGTTTCTCAGATCACACCATTGGTTGGTTCTCTAACTATCTTTCAGACCGGAGGCAATGTGTTCAACATAATGGTACTTCCTCCAGTTATTTAACAGTCAACAATGGTGTACCACAAGGCTCAGTCTTAGGACCCACCCTCTTTACAATCTACATACATAATGTAGGTAAAAACATCCCTAATGCATCCATACATTTCTATGCTGATGACACAGTTGTTTATTGTCGAGCTAAAACTGTTGCTAAGGCTTTCCAGCTTCTGAAATCTGCATTTAACTACATCCAGACTGATTTGTTTCACCTCAAACTTGTCCTAAATGCCGAAAAAACCAAAGGGATGCTTTTTTCAAATAGGAAGTTGGTCCCAGCAGTTCTTCCTCCGATTTTATCCTCAAATGGTGTCCCCATTGAGTTTGTTGATTCGGGTATCTTGGTCGACTCACATCTTTCTTTTAAGCTCCATGTGGAAAACTTGGTAAAGAAACTGAAAATTAAACTGGGTTTCTTTTTCAGAAACAGATCCTGTCTAACCCTGAATGCTAGAAAACACCTTGTATCTGTGACTTTCCTTCCCTCAATTGATTTTGGTGATATTATTTACATGAACGCTCCTACAAGAACCCTGCAGATGTTGGATGCTGTCTATCATGGTGCACTAAGATTCATAACTGGCTGTGATTATCGTACCCACCACTGCACCCTGTATTCACTGGTTAACTGGACATCATTAACTTCACGCAGACTCTCTCACTGGTACATTTTCATCTTTAAATCACTTCTTGGTCTGCTGCCTTCATACATCTCCTCCTACATGTCTCTGCGTGAGTGCAGCTACGGAGTGCGCTCTCAGGACATTATTACCTGCAGTGTTCCCTCAGTGAGGACTGAACTAGGCAAAAGGGCCTTCTCCTACTCCGCTCCTGTTTCCTGGAATATCTTACAAAAAGATTTGAAGCTCTCGACCTTGACCTCTCTAAGTGGCTTTAAGAATCTGTTGGACTCCTGGCAGGGTCCAATGCTGACATGTTCCTGTTTTTAGTTTTATACATTTGTCTTGGAATCTAGCTGTTTTTTTGGTTTTGTTACCTTTTTCCTTTTAGCCATCCTATTTGTTAAAAAAAAAAAAAAAAAAAAAAAAAAAAAAAACCTGTAGTATGAGTTTTTATAATTGCTTATTGTTGTTGCTGTTGTCCATTGTTGTCATCTTTCTTTGTTGAAATCAGGTCTCTCTTGTAAATGAGTCCTCGAGGCTCAATGGGATTTACCTGTATAAATAAAGGTTGATTGATTTAGTACCATGGTCCCATTAGCAGTGTGGTTCTGTTAGCAGTGTGGTCCCATTATCAGCATGATGATAATAACGACCGTGGCAACTCCGTCCCAGATTGCCCTCCAGAGCTGGGTCCGGCAGACAGAACATCTAAGGTTTCTCCATGGAACTGAACTGTTCCTTAGAGTTCTGAATTTACATGTGAATAAAGCCTAAGGATATCTGAATATATCTTGCAGGTTCCTGAAAATCCCTCCCAGCTGAAGAATGACATGTTCATGTGCCGTGGCTGTCACCGTTATCTACGCTCTGCTGACTTCAGTTCATCAGCTAAGGGCTTACTGAGTGGTTGGTGCCACAAATGCACTAGACTGGACAACATAGCTAGATCTCGTGATGATTTCTCTATGTACAGAATTATCCTAAAAAGACTAAGAGCTGATGAACAGCTGCTCAGCCCAGAAACCAATATCCCCTTCCTCCTGCAGGTAAACAGTTCTCCTCTGTCCATCTGAGCAATTTGTTTCTCTTGCTCCTGCATATTTTGATGTTCCAGTTTTATGATCCATGTACCTAAACCCAGACAATATATGTGTTCAGGTGGAAGACATGCGCTACCTGGTAGAAATAGTTTGGACATCCCGCTCTGCTCTCAATGGAAGCAGTGACCTTTACAATCTGGTGTTTTCTCGCTGGGATCGCCGGAAGGACTGGAGTCCCTGGAACTGCATACTGCTGTCAAAAGAAGAGACATCAGCTCACTTAGAGGTTAAGGATGTCCACAAGGTTTGTCACCATAATGATATATACCTATTCTAATTATGTAAATCAGATCCAGACTAACCCAAAGTCAGCTCTGTAGTTTCTAAAGTGGCTGATGGGTTTTAGCATCTATAAATAAAATGAAGCCCAGCTTTCTTTGGTTAGTTTTATTTTATTGAAGCTTTAAAGATTCTCCTCAGTACTTCTTCCTGTGTGTTTGTGTCCAGGCATACGATACAACGTTCATCTGCTGGATTGAACAGAAACACACGATGGCCTGCAAGCATTTCAGCCAGATCCCTATAATGGCAGAGTATCTGGAATCTCAACCAGCTCTTTCCATGGGCTACCAGTTGGTGACCAAACCCATCACCATGGAGACTGGGAAGCATGGAGTTTCAGGCAGCACAACAGCCTCATCTCATTAACAAACTCCGTTGTTGTTCCACCATATGTAGCTTCATTTAAAATATATTAAACATAATTTATGAATGTTTGGTTTTTGATTCTTACTCAGATTCCTTTTGTGACCTCCAATTTGTAAAAGTTTCCAACACATAACAGTTTTTCTGGTGGAAGATTGTAACTTGTTATTTTAGTGCAACCTACTGAAGAGTTTTGGGGTGTTCAAATGACCCGAGCACAGAATTTCAGGAGCACTTCCCCTTAGTATTAAAGATTTAATTGAGACAAACTTAAAGTATGCAGATATTACATGTAATCAGAATGCAGTCTGAGGAACAAAGTCAGAGCGAACCTTGCCTGGTCAATCAGCCTGATGTTTGTTCAACCAAACTCTGTGTATGAGCGAGATTTATAGGTTTCTCATGTCCTGCCCTTTCGGGTTCGGACAGTCAAGTCAAGTCAAGTCAGATTTATTTATAGAGCACATTTAAAACAGAAACTGTTACCAAAGTGCTTAACAAAAATATCACATCATCAGATAAAAAGTAGCAAGATATATTTACAGCACATGGAATAAAAATATAAAACCAAAAACAATTAGAAACAATGAAATACTAAATCAGATCACGTTGTGTCAAAAGTCAAGGAAATAATAACAAAAAGCATAAACTCAGTCAGAAACAATGAAATACTAAATCAGATCAGATGACCTTGTGTTAAATAGGAATAATAACAAAAGCATAAACAGAATCAGCATCAATGAAAAACCAGATCTAAAGCTGATCACCCTGTGTTAAATGTCAATGAGTATAGATGTGTTTTTAGGAGAGATTTAAAGGCAGAGACTGAGGTGGCCTGTCGAATGTTGATGGGCAGATTGTTCCAGAGTTTAGGGCCCACGACTGAGAATGCTCGATCTCCTCTGAGCTTCAGCCTGGTTTTTGGTACGGCCAAAAGCAGCTGGTCTGATGATCTCAAAGCCCGAGAAGGAGTATAAGGAAGAAGAAGGTCGGAGAGGTATGATGGTGCAAGGCCGTTAATGCACTTGAATGTCAGCAGGAGAATTTTAAAATCAACTCTGACACGTACAGGAAGCCAGTGAAGAGAGGATAGAACCGGAGTAATGTGCTCAAACCTGTGAGTTCCTGTTAAAAGCCGAGCTGCAGCATTTTGTACGAGCTGGAGACGTGAGAGTGAAGCCTGACTAACCCCAACATAAAGTGAGTTACAGTAGTCCAGCCGGGTTGTAATAAATGCATGGACTAGTTTTTCAAGGTCGAATCTGGACAGAACGGACTTTAGCTTTGCTATTTGCTTTAACTGAAAGAAGCTTTTTTGTAGAACAGAGTTGATCTGTTTATTAAACTTAAAGTCCGAGTCTAACACTACCCCGAGATTGGTAACTGACTGCTTTAGATGAGGCTGAAGGGAGTGCAGGTTTACAGGATCAGTGACAGTGGCAGAGCTTGGGTTAAACACAATGACCTCAGTCTTCTGATCATTAAAGCTCAAGAAGTTTGCAGCCATCCAAGTCTTGATATCATCAAGACATTTTAGCAAAGGGAGGATGGAGCAAGAACTGTTTGGTTTTAAAGGTAGATAGATCTGAGAGTCATCGGCGTAACAGTGAAACGAAATACCATGTTTCCTCAGGATTGACCCCAAGGGGAGCAGATACAATGAGAACAGAAGGGGTCCAAGAATGGAGCCTTGTGGGACCCCACAGGAAAGAGGGACAGAAGCAGATAAATGATTGCCAAAGTTAACACAAAAACTCCTGTCACCCAGATAAGAACGGAACCATTCTAGCGCCACCCCTGTAATCCCAACCCAGTGTTCTAGCCGTGACATAAGGATGCTGTGATCAACAGTGTCAAATGCAGCGGTAAGGTCGAGGAGTACCAGGATCACAGACTGACCAGAGTCATTCGCTAGCAGAATGTCATTACAGACCCTTACTAAAGCTGTCTCGGTGCTGTGCAGTTGTTTAAATCCTGACTGAAAAATCTCAAAAATTCCATTTACATTCAAAAACTTGGTTAGTTGACTAAAAACTATTTTCTCCAAGATTTTAGAAATAAATGGAAGTTTTGAGATTGGCCTGAAGTTAGAACAAGCTGCAGGGTCGAGTCCGGGTTTTTTAATTAATGGAGTTACCACTGCATGTTTTAAAACATCGGGGACCACACCTGTAGCCAAACTGCTGTTAATAATGGCAAGAACAGAGGGTCCAGTTGACGGTAGAACCTGTTTAAAAAATGCAGCAGGGATGGGATCAGCAGGGGAGCCTGAGGGCTTCATGTGATCAACGACCTCATTTAAAAATGAGAGTGAGATGGGGTCAAAGTGACTGAAGACTGCTGAGCAGGGGACAAGAACTGAAGGGTCGGCTGTGGAGTGTGGAATTGATGACCTGATCGACTCCACCTTTTCAGCAAAATGCCTGACAAACTTATTACAGGTGTCGACAGAGGCCTCAATGGTGGCAGACTGAGGCACGTTTAGAATGGTGTTAATGGTGCTGAAAAGAACGCGGGGGTTGTGACTGTTTAAGTTGATAATGTTTGAGAAATATTTGTTTTTCTCCTGTTTAACAGTGGTCTGATAGGCTTTCCAACATGTTTTTAACATCTCAAAAGACACCTGAAGTTTATCTTTTTTCCATCGACGTTCAGCTCTTCTGCACAAGCATCTTGCCTCTCGTGTGGTCTCATTTACCCAAGGGTGGGGCGTGCGTTTTCGATTCCTGAGCTTTAATGGGGCGACTGAGTCCAGGATCTGTACACACGCCTCCTGATGCTGAGAAAGCAACTCCTTTGTAGTAAGACCCGCAGAGAGTTCAGAGTCTGAAACAGAATTACCAGCAAAGATGGAAGAGAAGAGTTTGGCGGTGGAAGGGTTAAAAATCCTACAGGGCTTGGGTGTGGGGGTGGTGCAGGTTCACAAATCAATGATGTGTTGAATAAAACCGGTTTGTGGTCAGAACAAACAGTGTCACCAATTTCTAAATCAGAAACAGACAAACCATGTGTTAAGACTAAGTCTAGAGTGTGGCCCTGCTGGTGAGTCGGACCAACAACACTCTGAACAAAGTTCAAGGACTGGATGAGGTCTAGAAAGTCCTGAGCTAATGGTTTATCTGGGCAGCACACGTGGATATTAAAGTCACCTAAAATCACAACCCGATCATATTGGAGCAGAATACCAGTTAGAAAGTCAGATAGTTCATTTAAAAACTGTTTATGGTATCCGGGGGGTCTGTAAAAAATAGCACACAGAACTGGGTTGGAGCGGCCCAGCTCACAACAGAGCAGTTCAAAACTTGAATAATTAACTGAACCATGGAGCTGTCTGCAGTGCAAATGTTTCTTAAAAACAGCCAATAATCCTCCACCACGACCAGTTGTCCTTGGAGCATTGAAAAAAGAACAATCCAGAGGCAGTAATTCCAGAAGAAAAAAGAACAATCCAGAGGCAGTAATTCCAGAAAAACACTGAACTCACCAGGGCAGATCCAAGTCTCAGTGATGAAAAGAAAGTCCAGTTGGTTGCAGCAGAAAAAGTCGTTCAAAATAAAAGTTTTATTAGCCAGTGATCTGGCATTTATCAGGGCCATCCTCGTAGAATCCACCACAGGAGGAGATGATTGCAGTGTCCAGTCCAGCGGCCTCAGATTTGCAGAGTTAGACGCGCGCCTCCGGCAGGAAACCCAGCCGCGCACGGGCCCAGTGTGATGATGGGACCCCGACAGCGGGACCAGACAGCGCACCACAGGATCTGTACAGCGCCAGGAGCGGAGGTGGAAACGCTCACCATCAGCTGGAGAGGATGTTTCAGAGGCAGCCAGCTGGGCTTTCAGTTTCACCAGCCGGCCAGCGCGTTTTCCACGGCGTCTGGAGCGACGTCTCCGGGGAGGCAGGTGCGTGCCCCGCTGCAGGTAAGCAGGCACGTCCGCCAGCAGCGGGGGGACAGGGGGGGGTCCAGAGTTACGCTCATAATGATCAAAATAAGCGACATTGGTGCCACAAGGTCGAAGATCCAAAAGTTGTTTTCGGTCATACACCAGCAGAGCGTTGATGTCACAGATGAGAAATGAAAAAAACACCAAAAATACGAACACCATCAGCAGAGGTGGATTGCAAGCCATGTACACAGGCGCCATCTTACCGGACAGACTTGTGATTGGGTGTCAAAACCTCTTGATGGTCCGAGTGACACCATGTTCAGCCACTCAAGAGCAGATCCTATCCCCATGGTTACTCTGAAGGCCGCAGACAGCCTTGCTCATTCTTCTACTGATAAGGGTTAATTTACGAGCTTTGTTTTGGAACACAGGAACACTTACTCTCCAGCTTGTAGTTTGGCTTTCGTCTGTATAAAGATTTAAAACACGATTCCTGTGTGTCTGAACTATTATTAATGTGAGAGCATAAATACTCAACCTGTGTTAAGTATAAAGTATATGAATGTTGTGATTTAACGTTATTTATGTTAATCAATGTGTGAGCAGTGTGTCACATTGCTGGGCCCTCAACTCTCAGCTGCTCTACTCAGAGAACAAAGAAGGATCGTTTCCTGCTGCACAAACAAGTGTCATACCTGTCTCTGTTTCCCTCAGAATTATATCAAATGTGAACTTGTATGATTATCCTTAGCACTTGTGAGATTATATATAACATGAAGTAATTAGTGTATGATTATCCTTGGCAATTGTGAGATTATATATAAAACATAATAAACAGTTTAGAATTAATGCAGGCCTGTAAATATAGTTCAAACCCTTGAATTCAGACACGCACACACCTTGTAGAAAATATATAATTTCACATCATCAGAGAAATGTCAAGGCTTGTCAAAAGATATAAAAAGATATAAAAGACATCAAATCCAACACATCCTCTTTTGGTCTCCCCATATTTATGGGCGACCACACCACGTATGATTTGATTTTACAGACATTTTGATTCTGCCCACTCCAGGTGGCTCTGATCATCTGCGGAGGTGTCACCTGAGTGATACATCA